TAAATTTGGCAGTCTCTTGGTTCGGCACCCAGCCTCTCTCCCGAGGAGATGGGGCGATTTTCTGCACTTATTTAAGAACATATTTGGCCTTTGATATGACAATTAAAACTTGTCTAGACAGCCAAGTTATTAACGCTTGAAAATCAGCTACTGCACATGAATAATAACTTTTCAAGTAGCTTTTTAAATACTAGGTATAGCTGTATAAACACAGTCATTGTGCTACACTCGAAGTGAACACAACCACTTTTCTTGACTCTTTAGGACTACACTTTTTTCCCCTGGCTGCTCACAGTAGACTCTAGCAGGTCTTTCTGAGGAGTTATGATATAAATGTATATTTAGGCAATTTTGAAAACGTGTAATATAGGGGCTTTCTCAGACACAGAATGCAAAGGCGATTTTTGTAGCACAGTGTTTAAAAAACAAAAAAAAAAAAGAGCAGAGAAGGGTCTCACAAACAGAACTGTGTTGTTAAGCTTGCAATAAAGATGTGGTTTAAGGCAGCCGGAGCTGGAATATCCAAAGCTAAGGATAGGATGCCGGTTGCAAAGCCTCATTTTGTGCTAATTTGGCCTGCAGTTAAGAAGCCTTAGACTGCAAGCTGAAATTCCCACCGTGGCTCCAGTCCAAAGGCTGCTGAGGTCAACCAGAGTCCTCGGAGCAGAGAGGCCTGGTAGTTCCTGCTCACAGGCACCAACCTCTGTGCGAAGGCAGCGGCTGCTGCTGGGGGAATGAGCTGGGAATCGGGAAGTTAAAATCAAAGTTTCAGCCTTAACATTGGAAGTTCCCTGACTTATTTCTTCCTTTTATTCAAATTAAGCCAGAGCCTGCTGTTTTTCAGATCTTTTCACTTGGTGTGTGGCTTTAGGATTGACATTGGACTCTGCACTACAGATGGAATCTTGGTATGAAATATTCCTGTCTTGCTCTGTTTTTATTCTTTTACCTAATACACGATGGCGGCGTCATTTTCCATTGTATAAAGAGTGCTGACAGTGTTTTGGTACAAAGTATATTATTTAAAAATAATAATAATAATAATAAAAATCCAAGGGAAAGGTGCTTCTACATGAGCTGTTTGGATTTTTCTCAGATCTGTATTTGGAATACAGTTCTTCAGGATTCTTCAGGAGCAAGGGAGTGCATGGACCAACTCTGGGAATCTCTTGCTGGGATCTGTTAGCTGAATATCTCAGTTGTTCCCTCTGACTCAGCAAGTGAATCTGGAAGTGAAGGAAGGTGAAAACCACGTGGAGCAGAATCCCTCTGCTTAGCAGAGCCCTAGCTTTATTCTAAAGCTGAAAAAGTCAAAACAACCAAAAAAAAAAAAAAAAACCCTGTCCCCAAGTTACTTGGTTATGTTTAGAATTAGCTGTGATAAAGCCGATATTTTTTTTGAAAAACCAGGGTATTGCCTAGTCAGAAAGAGCCTTGCAGCGCTTCGGTGTTGTGTGAGATAGTCTTTGTCTAAACACACTTCACAGAAACGCTTTTTCACGGCCAAGTTGTTAAAAACATTATGCAATGCCTTCTTTTTGTGTCAGAACTAGAAATGTCTGCCCCACCTCGAGAGAACACTTTGTACTAAATATTCACACACTGTCTCTGTGAACTTGCACTAACTTATACCATATTCTCCTCGAGAAGGAACAGGCGGAGTATTGCCAGACCGGTTGAATGTCACTCCTGCTTGGGGCACAGCATCTTTCTTGGGGGCTGTTGCTCTGCTCTGCCCTTCCCGCTCCTGCCCTTCTCCCGAAGGGAGCCCAAGAGGGAAGCTGCGGATTTTAACGTGAGCAGCATCGTGGTTTTATCTGGTTTGAAGGGAGGGAAGGAGATTGCAGCGGCCCCAGGACCCCCTAGGTAGTTGTGCCTTCTGAATTGCTAATCCTAATTATACACCCTCTTTTTTTTATAAATTCTGGTTTCTTTTATCTTCTGGCTGTTTTTCAGATGGAGCTAGCTCTTTCGCTCACGAGACTGGTGTGAAATTTGGCACTGAGATGCACAGCTTTGATAGCAGCCTGTGCAAAACTACCCCTTGGTTTAAGTGCATCATGCAGAACAGTCAAAGCTCGATTTAAATGCATTGTGCAGAACAGTCAGACAACTTTATTTGAGGAAACAATAACTTTCTTCCTCATGCAAGATTCCCGTTGACATCACCACGGGAGTTAACATGCACTGCTCTGAAATTAGAGCCAAAACATCAGGTTTTTGGACACGGACCCCTGATCTCTTTTGCATCAGAGAAAGTAAGTAGGACAGAGTAATGTTCCACATGTGTTTGTGGTTATCAGAAATGAGTTGGGTCTCTGCGGCAAACCTCAGAATCTGAAATAGCAGATGAGCAAGGTTTGAGTGTAGTTAGTTCTGGTTTTTTTCCCAGCGAGATGGTAATGGTCAGCTGCCCACACAGTTTGTTCTAGCTTTAAGTCTTCAGCATGGATCTGTGGCCATCCCTGCTCCCAGCCAGGCTGGGAATAAAGGAATTGCCCCTTTATTTACTCTCCACAATCCTAAGAGAAAGGGGGCACGTTAAGACACCTAGGGAACCCAAGTTAGATAACCTGGATGCAAAGCAAAAATAAGGAAGACAGAGAGAAAATACACACAACATCCTGAGATTTGTATGGCACTAACCAGCTTCAGAGCCGGTGGGAATTTCTCCTTGTCTTTGGTGGGCCTCAGTGGGGTTTTACACGTTCGGGAGCGCGTTCCCACCACGCAGAGCAGCACAGAACAGCGTGTCCCAAACGGCTCACCCAGATATGGGGAACGCGAGCCCCAAAAGCCGCTCCTGCTCGGCCAGCCCACACCTATCGGGTGCTTTCAGGCACGGGCTTGCTGGAAATGCCTTTGCACAAGGCTGCACCCTGCACACAGGCGGTATCTGGCCCTTGCCGGACAGCAAAACAACCACGGCAGGTAGGTGCCCGGGGGGATTTTTGAAAGGACAATTATATACAGCCAATATTGCCGTCTTGCAGCAATCCTCTGGCTGCTGACTCCCACGGAGGCCTCGGAACGCTCCTGTCTCGACCTGTAGGACACAGGCGAGAGCTCTGGGGACGAAGGGACGTGGTGGCGCAGCCCGTGCGGAGCTCCTGATGCAGGCACGTCCTTCCAGCACCTCAGTGCTGCATCTCATTCCGACAAACCGCTTCCGAGCTAACGCCCAAGGCTTCCTCACAGAAATACCACGGATACGACTCTGTAATAGTGCCCTGGATCTGATTTTCACACGGCGACTTGCACAACTTCCCTAAGAACAGCAGCTGGCTCTGAAACTTCCCCCCAGCCCCTGCATTCTCCAAAGTTACACGTTTCTCATCTCGTTAGGTTTTGAAAGGCCCATCTCCACCCCGGTGGCTCCGTCACCACGGCCCTCGCGCGGGGCGAAGAGCCAGCGCTGACACTAATGTGATGTAGGACGAGCTGCGGTAGCAGCTCGAGCGCTGCCTGCTCCAAGACATACACAGGACTCGTTCTTGGCTGCTCTCTAAGAAACTTGCTGCTTAATGGGAAAGATATTCACTGCTGGGAGAGATCCGGGTCAGAAAATATGGCTCAGTGGATGATACATTCTTGGCAAAGCAACAGACGGTCGCAGACTCTGTGGGAAAACGAAACACTGAGCTTAAAAACACAAAGGCTTCATAGAGGACAGCAAGATTCCTTGTACATCCCCACTTTGGAAGAAAGGTACAATGAGCTCTAATGCTAAAAAACAGAAGCTGAGGGGCAAAGCGAGAGCAGCCCTGGATTCGTGCACGGGTGCAGCATGCAGCTTCATCACTCCACCCTCCTCATCCTCACTGCCACCTCTGGACGGTGGTGGGTTCTTCCCACAAGCGAGAGCTGTCGGTGGGGATCCCAGAGGAACGCACTGGTGGGTCCTCGTCCCC